ACAAAACTACTAAACTTCGTGTAGTTTTCCACGCGAGTTCGAAAACTTCCAGTGGACATTCTTTAAACGATTTACTGTGCAAGGGAGGAGTACTTCAAGAAGATCTCTTCTCGATCCTAATTAGATTAAGAAAACACGCTTACGCATTTACAGCAGATATAAAACAAATGTTCAGGATGATTGAGGTTAATTCTTCGCAAACCAAGCTTCAAAGAATTCTATGGAAGAACTGTAAAAACGCACCTACTAAAGTTTATGAGTTGCGAACTGTAACATACGGAACCGCATCAGCTCCATACTTAGCTACAAGGGTTCTGCAACAACTTGCCATAGATGAGCAGAAGGACTTTCCTATAGCGTCAAAGGCAGTACTTCAAGATTGCTACATGGATGACTGCCTCTCTGGTGCTACAGAACTTAGCGAGTTCGAAAAACTCAAATCAGAATTAACACAGCTGCTCCAACGAGGAGGCATGACTTTGCACAAATGGTGCTCCAACAAGGCTTCATCAACCAAACATAAGGAATTCTCGCTTGACCGAAATTCTGATGAGACAATGGTCAAAACTTTAGGAATGCTTTGGAACAGTTTAACTGATTCATTTACGTACAAGGTTACCACCAGCACAGATTGCAACTACACCAAAAGAGATGTGCTTTCACAAATAGCTCGCATCTATGACCCACTAGGACTCCTAGGACCTGTCATTTCCAAAGCTAAAATATTCATGCAGCAATTGTGGTTGCTTCAATTGGACTGGAACGAAGCACTACCACCAGATGTGTCCAACCAATGGAGAAACTTCATCAAAACTCTACCAGATATCGAATCCATTCATGTTCCCAGATGTTTCTTGGGAGTTAGTGCAAGGTTCGTAGTGTTACACGGATTTGCAGACGCATCTTCAAAAGCTTATGGAGCAGTGATTTACATACAAAATGTATCTAACTCCAATGAAGTAACTACCCAACTTCTTTGTAGTAAATCGCGGGTTGCACCAACCAAATCCATGGCAATCCCTAGACTCGAGCTTTGCTCCTGTCTACTCCTTTCAAAACTTACACAGAAGGTCATAGCTGCAATAAGACTCGAAATACACTCAGTTATATTATATTCAGATTCAACAATAGCCTTAGCATGGATAAACTCTCCTTCTAATTTGCTCAAAACATTTGTAAGCAACCGAGTGTCTCAAATTCAGCAACTATCCAAAGATTTCCAATGGAAACATATTCCATCAGAGCTTAACCCGGCAGACTTGATTTCCCGAGGACTTGATGTTAAGGCCCTTGCAGCCAGTGAACTGTGGTTTAAAGGACCAGACTTTTCGAAATTAAACTTACCTGATCTTCAGAGTGTGCAAATTTCCAGTGGCTCAACCAACAAACTTTATATTGATGAGTTGAAGCCAGTTTCCAAAATAACTTTGACTTTAATTAATGACTCTAAATTTTTAGATGATTTTCTAGTTATCACTAATGATTTTCATAAATTAATCAGAATTCTAGCATTTATTTTTAGGTTTGTCCATAACTGCAAATTTCCTGAAAAGGTAAAAGGATTCCTCACACAGGAGGAATACAGGAACGCGGAAAATGTGCTCTTAAAAATTGTACAGGTGAAGTATTTTTCTTCTGAGATCTCTGCTTTAGAAAAACGATCGCCAGTTCCATCTACCAGTAAGTTAAAATTTCTTAATCCCTTCATAGATCCATCCGATGGACTAATTAGGGTAGGTGGCAGACTTGCGCATTCTAATTTAAATTTTAATCAGAAACATCCAGTTATTCTTCCGGCAGGAAATAAATTAGTTAAACTCATATTTCAGTACTATCATAAACGAGATTTCCATGTAGGCCCTCAAGCCCTTCTAAATACTGT